ATATACCGGTTGTATGATCGAATAGGTCTACAACCTATATCGACACTTTTTAATATTGTGTCGGTACTTTATGTCTAAAAGTGTCGTACCATTTAAAAAAGTGTCGGTAATTTTAAGTAACGCGATTTTTCTCCTTCATTCAAAATATTATATGTACATACAATAGGAGTCATGTTGATACTTACGATATTATATGGAGATCGTTGTCATTCCATTCCGTCTTCGAAAAAATCAGTTGATGTAGGCTGTGTGCTTGTACTCAAACCGAGCTTGACTTGAGGACATGTTAGTTTGTTATGCCCCTCACCGTTGCAGTACCCACATCGCCTAATTTTCTTCTCGGACCTTGTTCTTCGGCAATTCTTTTCGCTTGCGTTGTTTTCGTTGAGGGTCACGAACATTGTTTACTACAATGCTCTGGTTGACTGAATGATTCAAACCAAACGAGTTTCTAATTCTTCTATTAGTTTTTTCATCTCATCTCTTGCGGTTTTGAAAGACTCGTCTGTCTTTGATGCAATGTAGCATAACCTACTTGACGTGAACGTAGAGCAGCGAACCTTGCCATTTGCATCACTTCTGGAGACACATTCAAATCAAATAGCTGGTGCAGAAGCCTTCGCATCATTAGTCCACCTACTTTGAATCAAAGTCCCGGGCAAATATGTGTAGTCCAATTGCTTCAAAATGTGAAGTTGATGGCGACACGGAAGTCCAACGGTCTCGAATTTTTGCAGGAGCAAATTAGAGTTTCGTACGAGAATCAAAACTAATTTCAAATTTCCTATTTTTTCTGCGTACTTTGACAAAAATAATGTTGACATTCATCTGATAAGGACTTAATCTCTGCCTCAATCCGGTACAATGTCTCCCGTATAAGTTCATCTTGGAACAGACGAAAAGATTCGCGGGTAAAAATCGTAGCGGCATGGCTTTCAAGGTCGACCAGTTTTGTGATCTGGAAGGGCTTCGTATGGGAACTTAAGTAATCCGCTTTCAACTCGTTCATACGCATTCTACTAATTCCATCTTCAATTGCACGAATAACATCTAATATGTCTTCTTGTGTTTCAGTGCAATAGCTAGTGAAGCATTCATAGACTCGCACCTTTGTGTTGAGCGAATATTGGCAAAGAAATGACCGGTTAGATATGCTGTGCCCATAAGTGTCGTGTATTTCCCTTCTCAATCACCCATGGATGCTTGTGGACGTTGAATTCTGAAACAATCGAACGCCATTGAATATCAAATTCCTTGGTTGTCCACAGGAAGCCATGCATTTTGAGAATGCTGTTGTAAACTTTGGGTCACCAATGTTAGCTTGTGCATTGCGAGAAAGATGCCAAGAACATAATCTGTGCTTAGCATAAGGGATAACAGATTTGATAGCCCTCTGCATTGCCCTATCCCATCGGTTACAACAGAAATAGGTGATTTATTCATCATGGCTTCTAAAAAATTCTGTAGCACCCACTCGAAAGATTGAGACGTCTCGTCAGCGATTATGGCAGTGGCAAACACAATTGTGTTATGGTGATGATTGACACCAACAATAGGCATAATTGGTCGACCATACAAATTATCTTTGTACGTTGTGTCGAATGCAATTACATCACCGAAGCATGTGTAATCCGATCTCGATGTAGAATCCGACCAATAAGATTATACAATGCCCCGATTCGTCTACCGAGTATGTCATAAAAAACCCGGGATCATCATGTTTCTTATAATCAAAGTAGGCAATAAGCGCATTCACATCCCCATCGACGATTTCCTTTGCTTTACCTCTTTGAAGTGCATTGTAGAGGTCTTATGTGTAAATCCAACATTATGATAGCCCCCTGCCTGTTGCGTTAAATAGTTCATTACTTGTGACGTGCCAACACCGACCTCTTTCAATGTTGTTGCCTCATCGATATCAGCCTTACTTACAGCTCTATTAGAACGCATAAATGGTGTCATAGCAGATGTGCACAATGCATGATTATGTTTCTGATCAGACTTACTTAAACCCACTGATCGTTTGTATTGTTGCTGTAACTACGACTCTAGCCTTACATCCTGTTCTTGTGACTGGCGTATGAGCACGTTGGCGATCAACAATATTGACTTTGATACTCGAAACCCTTCTTTGGAACAACAAATCTTGTGTCTCACATCCCCTTCCACGTCAAGCCGTGTGTTCCCTTACGTGCACTAAACCCATGTTCCGTGCGAATCCCTTGTAAAAGTGCCAAGCTTGATCACGTGAACAGAAGAGCTGACCAACCAATCGTCAGATTCATCAACATTAGTACTTCATGCATTCCTCGGTTGCTTAACATTGTCTACATCAGTATTATCCTGGCAAAAATTTTGTTGTGCAAGTTCAGTGCTCCAGGAGTTGATGGAGATATAAGCAAAGGTTCATTACTAATATGTTTCAGTCGTGCTGCTTTCACTATGATGTGGCATTGGTAGTGGTAGTTAAAGGGTGGGTACACATTAAATTCGCAGTACATATTTAGGTATGTACATAACTACAAGTATCTAATGTAATAGGTATCGTTATATAATGTAATAGGTAGCGCTATAATGTAATTCGTTATATATTGTAAAAAATATCTATCCTTTTATAAAATGTCCATACTTTTTTCACTGTGGAAAACATTAATTTAAGGTTATCTTTTGAGTGAGTTTTAAGATATTAATTTAGTAATTATATGCGTCTAATGATTTATTTTTTACGTTACGATTATTATTATTAAATTAAAAATTCTAATAGTATTTATAAAATATCAAAACAATCAAATAATTTTTGTGCAAATAAAATTATACATCAAATTACTTTATCCAACCATTGACAAGTGTGACAACTCCATCAACTCACAACTCAGCTTTGAACTCAATCAATATTGTCTTTTAGCTTGATGGTTCATAAAGCATGTTACTTGAACAGTATGAATCAATTATGCAATTTTCATGTTCAATTTAACACTGCATTTCAAATTCATTTCATATGTAATTGGAGTTTGAATTTAAATTTCAATTGAGTTGAATTTCAATATATATTTCGGCTCCACTATAAATATTAGCCCAAGCCAATATGCATGTTATCATTGATTATTCCTAATTTCCATTGTTTTTTTCTAACGTTTAAACGCGAGGGAAATCCAGACCATTGTATTTTTGGTCAACTTTAAAGCGTCAGAAACGTTTCGGGCGTATGATCTGGGTGGTAAACAAATAGCAACTAAAATCTAAGTCCGAAATGCTTCTGAGTACCACCCAAATCATAAGTCTGAAATACTTCCGATGCTCATCAAAATCCAAAGCTCATATGGTGCCAAGCAAAAGGAAATCAAAATTTAAATCTCATATGATGCCAAGCAAAGGAAATCAAAATCTACAACTTGATTTTGAACATTGATATGATATGTTCAGTTGTTATCATGTTGGGATTTTCTCGTTTTTGATTGCTTGGATAGTTGTTCTCTTGCTTCTTCAAGTGTCCTTAGCTTGTAATTTATAGCTTGGAATGTGTTTGATGTTGTATATATTATTATTAAAAAAACAATAAACATATATATACATATTTATTATTATCTTTGGTTAATGTTGTTAAATTAAAAATTCTAAATAATATTTTATAAATATCAAAAAATCAAATAATTTTTTATGCAAATGAAATTATTAAATTAATATTGTAGGTGGAAACATGAAACACTATTAAAAAAAATTGAAACATAAATTACATAACTTTAAAAGAAGTATCGATCTTTTTATAAAAAGTATGGACACTTTCAATATAATAGGTAAAATATGATGTAATAGGTAGCGCTTATATAATGTAATAGGTATCGTTTATATAATGTAATAGGTAGTGGTTATATTGTAAAGTGTCTATCCTTTTTATAAAGTGTCCATACTTTTTTCACTGTAGAAAACATTAATTTAAGGTTATCTTTTGAGTGAGTTTTAAGATTTTAATTTAGTAATTATAGGCGTCTAATGATTTATTTTTTACGTTACGATATATTATTATTAAAATAAAAATTCTAAATAATATTTTAAAATATCAATAATCAAATAATTTGTGCAAATGAAATTATTAAATTAATATTGTAGGTGGAAAACATGAAACACTATTAAAAAATTGAAACATAAATTACATAACTTTAAAGAAGTATCGATCCTTTTTATAAAAAGTATGGACACTTTCAATATAATAGGTAAAAATATGATGTAATAGGTAGCGCTTATATAATGTAATAGGTATCGTTTATAATGTAATAGGTAGTGGTTATATTGTAAAGTGTCTATCCTTTTTATAAAAGTGTCCATACTTTTTCACTGTTGAAAACATTAATTTAAGGTTATCTTTTGAGTGAGTTTTAAGATTTTAATTTAGTAATTATAGGCGTCTAATGATTTATTTTTACGTTACGATATATATTATTATTAAATTAAAAATTCTAAATAATATTTTATAAAATATCAAATAATCAAATAATTTTTTGTGCAAATGAAATTATTAAATTAATATTGTAGGTGGAAAACATGAAACACTATTAAAAAAATTGAAACATAAATTACATAACTTTAAAAGAAGTATCGATCCTTTTTATAAAAAGTGGACACTTTCAATATAAATAATGTAATAGGTAAATTTGTACTATCGGTATAAATATACCGGTTTACTTATAAAATAGGTAAATATAAGCACTACCTATTACATTATAAGCGCTACCTAGTATGTTATTGTACTTTATAATATTTCCGGTTAAATAATATAACATAACCGGTATAAATTTTAACCGATCATTTATTTAACCGGTCACGCCGTATATTAACCGTTTTTTAAGCGCCGCACCGCAGAACTACCCAGTTTTACCTATTTTAATGAAACGAGACAAAGGAAAATTGAAAGCTGAACTATTATTCACACTAAATGCACGTGTTAGAATCGAATTTGCATAAGTGATACACCCCAACTAGGCAGAAGCAGCTATTGCAAGATGCACTAAAAGCACCAAACTTTTTTGTTTGTTTCAAATAAAACCTCTCGACTACTGATTTCTCTCTCTATATTTCTGATATTCTCCCATTGTTCCAGCCGTCGTTTAATACTTTCCAATGGCTTCTTCTTTTTCATCTTCTGTTATTGCTTGGTTTCGACTCTGAACCCTTCCTTTCTTTGAACTTTTCATCAATTTATTGACTTATTTGCTCCTCATTCTTTATCTTTTGTTACAATCTCAGGGGCTCCGGTGAAGATGGCCAATTGGGTATTGGAAACAATGAAGAAAGAGAATGGGCTTGCGTTGTTCAAGCTCTTGAGCCTCACAATGTCCGCTCCGTCGTTGCTGGCAGCCGTAACTCTCTCGCTATTTGTGATGATGGCAAGGTCTCGGCGGCTACCCCCCCTTCTGCTTTTATATTTATATTCTTCTTGGTGCTTTTTGAAGTGGGTATTGATTGTTTATTCAGTTGCTTGATTCCATTTTGGTTGAAAACTTCTCTTGGTGTTTCGAAACGAGCATCAACTGTTCTAACTTGGGTTTTCTGGGTTTTTGATTGATTGGTTGTTGATTTTGCTACTTGCCCTCATTCACCTTTTTGGTGAAATAGAGCTTTTCTTCTATTTGAGTTTCCCGGCCCGATCCTGGTATAGTCGGATCCAATATGGTTACTGAATATTGGAGTGTTGGACTAAAATGAAAAAGGAAAAGAAAACAATTAAAGTTAATTTCATATTCATTGAAATGAATGGATGACTAGAATACAACATCCTTTCTATCCTAATCATGTTTATTTTTAATTAAAACAGAATCGTACATTTATTTTCTAGCCAAGTTATGTGCTTTAAGTATCTTTGGTTGTTACTTGTTACCTATGTTACTTGCACTTCTGCGAGTCTCGATGGTATCGGACATGGGCATGCTTATTATTTTCCAAGTCTTTACATGTGTATGAAGGGTAACATCTTCACATTTGTGTCCGAAAGTGATTTAGATATAGATACTTCAAGCAAAATGAAATGTTAGAGCATATGGTGCTACTTTTTCTATTTAATCTTTGCTTGCTGAAAATGTATTTGTACACCAGAGCAAATGATATTTTGGACAATTAAAAGTAAAATGTGATTTTATATGCAAAACATTTTTTACTAATGTTTAGATAGTTATATTTATTCTTGTATTGAATTTAGTTAATATTTTGTTTTCCCATTATCCTTTTCCTTTTAGCAACTTAAGAGGAAGCTAACAGCCAGCATGGAAAGCAACAATCAAATAGAGCCTTATTGTTTAAAGTGTTTATGTGCATTCTGCATTTGGAAGTAAAAGCAAGTAGCAAAGGAAAAATCAAACAGTTCCTTCAAATTCCATTTCTTGCTCAGGGTTTGAAGGAGATCCTTATTTGAGCTGAAGCATTTTACTCCAGTAACCAGATGATTGTTGCTTTCTTGGTTTTCTGTAATATGCATATGATACTGTATGGTTTTGCATATGCCCGTTTTCCCTTTTCTTGTATACTCGGATTAGTTTGATTTACATTTTGGTGTTCTCTGTTGAACTTCAGTTGTTACATGGGGATGGAACCAGAGAGGAACCCTCGGGCATCCTCCTGAGACCAAAACTGAGAATATTCCAAGTCAGGTTAAGGCTCTTGCTAATGTTAAAATTGTCCAGTAATTTTATTTCCGTAACACATGACTGTGCTTGTCTGTCAAATCTTTTCTATAGTATTTTTCTATGCAGTTTTAATTTATTTCCATAACATATGGTTGCTCTTGCATGCTAAATTGTTATTTCTCTATTAATTCTAGGCGGCTATTGGTGGGTGGCATTGCTTGCTGTTGATGATGAGGCAGAGCTTATGCCTGGGGTAAGCTCGAAAGTGTCACACTGGATAAAAAAAAACATTATACTATCTTCTTTAAAGTAGTGTAGTGTTTTCAAATAATAAGTTTGTTGGAATGTAAATTTCTTTGTCACTGGGGATGATAGAAGGTTAATTAGTCTGTTTCTGGTCTTGCGGAGTTTGGGTTTAATTGTCCATTCCAATGAATGCTTGAGTGAAGTATGTATTCTATGAATGTCATCATATGATGTGTGTTTGTGCAGGTGGGAACGAATACGGGCAGTGTGGTGAAGAGCCCGAACGGAAAGATGATACCGGTAGGCCTTTGAGAAGGGACATTGTGATTCCTCAACGCTGTGCACCAAAGCTTGTAGTTCGCCAGGTAGTTTTCTTAAATTTGACTGTACTTTTGGTTGAAGTTAAACTAGATTGCATGAAACCTCTAGCTTTTTTTCTCAAACCAGTTTGAGTAGTTTATGGCACCCTTTTAGGGGCATAAATTATGTTAACAACTAACTTCATTTGTCTTACTTGAAGTGCTGTAAAGAAGGTATATTTTAAGATCAAATCTAATACGATTCTAACTATTGTGTTCAAGTCAAAACATTGTTGGTAAAACATCTTTAACCTTGATGCTTTTACCACATGTACTTCGGTTCTTCATTTTTCTTGAAATTCCGTGTCTTATACCCATCCCCACATATTGGACATGGCTATGGGGATGTGATCCTCCTGGGACCCCTCCAAATACATAAAAACTTTGGAAAATTGTTGAATATCCATACCTGAAACATATTTATGTTTGACGCTTGCACCTAAGTCCAAGTAACATAGCCTTCACCAAGAGTAACCGAAAATGGAAAAGAGAGGTTCAACAGCTTTACAGAGCAAAACATATTCAAATAATATGGTTATAAAACCATCTACGTTATTACCAAACAAAAAAGCCATCTACCTTTTTTTTTTACAAAATTTTAGTATGTGGTATTATTGTTATTCGAGCACTAGTTATTCTCTTTAAATAAAAGTAATCAGGAGAAAGTAGGGGAAAGGGAACAAAAGTGGAAATGTCTGAAACCTTCTCCTTTAGTTCTCCCCATCTCCCTTGACGTGATGTACTCTGTTAGTTGATTCTTGATACCTATGTTGCTTGAATTCTTCATTTTTCTGAATTACTCGTGCCTGACATATGGATACGAGGATATGGCCTCCAAGTATCCTCCAAATTACGTGAAAATTTTAGTAAAATCTAACCATACCTGTATCCAACACCCACACCTGAGGTTGTAGTAAACATAGGTGATTCAGATACAAGTATGAAACATAGAGTCTTTACTTATTTATTTCCTGGCATGACAAGAAGCTTTTCTTTATTGTTTATTTGTATAATGCTTATATGAGGTTCGAAGTTTTTAGTGCGCCTAATCAAGTCTTTTGATACCGTGTGGTGAATACATTTCAGCAAATTATGGACTTTATACATCTATTGCTTGTCATAGTAGTGGTTAATCCTCGGTTTGGTTTTGATCTCTGAATACTCAATTTATTTTACTGCATTTCTCCGTCTACATTATTATTAGCATATTTCCATATGCTGTTGTTTCATTTGTCCTACACAGCTGACTTTTCTGTATATGATGTGTGTTTTCAGTGGTGGAACTTAACTTATATTTGTGTTTATATCTGTTTAATTGATTTAAGGTAGCTGCTGGGGGCACTCATTCAGTAGTGCTGACACCGCGAAGGATCTGTATGGACCTGGGGCCAACCTTGGCCACTGGTGACATTAATTACCTTATAGTCGAAATTTTGTAATTTTCTTTAATGCTAGGAATTTTCTAGCACTTTTAATCATCTTCAAGAACTTGCAGTTAATCATTTTGATAGCTTTCTGCAATCCATAGCATATGTTATTTCATTAATGCAAAATCCTGTTCCCCTTTCTCAGAAAACAAATATCTGTTCCTGTGAGAGTACAAGGTCTTGAAATGTGAAGCTTTTGCAGTAGGAGCATTCATAATCTGGCTCTCCAGGAGGATGGGACTTTGTGGGCTTGGGGTAATAACGAATATGGACAACTTGGAACTGAAGATACTCAACCTAGATCACAACCTATACCTGTCCAAGGACTATCTGATCTCACTTGGTATGTATTACATTGTTAAGTTCCCTACTAATATCGTATTTATTTAGTTGTTGGTTGTTGGAAAAATGGTATTTAGAAAACTCGGTACCATTGATGTTGGAATGGTTGGAAGTATAGGTCACTAGGATTTGATGGTCTGTCTATGAGAAATGTTAATATGCATTATTACATTGGCTCGTTTGGGTTGTTTTAGTTTTATACTAATGATAGATCTCCGAAGTTTCAATTACTGCTTTTAGGTTTGGTACATTAATCATATACCTCAGTCTCTTATGTGTATTTTTTTACAAACATCTGTAATCAAATAAACTAATAGTATCCATTCTTGCTTTTGTTTCTTCATCCATTCTTCATTTTAAAGTTATGTTGTTTAGTGTTCCTAAGGTTTTCGCAATAACTTTGCCTTTTTTTTCTTTGCTAGTTTTGGTTGCGTATTTTATTGATAGTCTGATCAGCCTTTTATTTGACTGCACGTTTAGGTTGATATTGCTGCTGGTGGATGGGCATTCCACTGCATTGACTGATGATGGAGAGGTATTATCCATTTTTAGTTGGAGAAAACAAAAATAAAAATGTGTATCTAGTGTTTCAAGAGATTATAATTAAACTTTCAAAATTATTGTTCTAGAAGATTCCACTTATTCTGAACAATGCCAAGCTCTTTTTGGCTAATCGAGGACGGAGAGAATAAGCCAGCTTTATTCATACGTCCATTTTGTTATTTTTATTATTTTTGAATTTTAAGTGTATACTTTTAGCTTTGGATCTTGTAAAATATTCCTTGAAATGCTACATTTGTGTTCGTCTTTTATTTTAGGTGTATGGTTGGGGAAGAGGGGAACATGGGAGGCTCGGGTTCGGAGATAACGACAAGAGCAGTAAAATGGTGCCACAAAGAGTTTCAACTTTTAGCTGGGGAGGATATTGTTCGGTATTGCATTTCAATTTTCAGTGGAACAGGTACATTGTACTCGGTATTCAAAATTTGCAATTTTTATCTTGATCAGATTAGGGACTATAAAGGATACCCATAATTAAGTTGTAGATATGATGACAAAGAAGCTTAAATTCATCTGTGTTGTATGTACAATTTGATTCGTGGAATAATAAACCCCTCTATTCGTTTCATACCGCTGGCTTATTTTGATCCAGGTATCTTGTGGTGGAACACATTCGGTTGCATTAACACGTGATGGGCGCATGTATTCGGTAAAAACTTAACATTTCTTCTCCTGTTGCTTTTGCCTTCTAAATGCAATGGATGCTATTTGATCCCTTAACCTGCACAAACAAATTAAGCAGATCAATGTGTTCTTCAAATTTGAATTTGCACTTAATGAATATGCTTTGATAGTCTGGTAATGAACATTTTATCAGTCCAACATTTCATTTTGGGCCAACTTCACCTTTGCCTGGATCCTGCCACTCACCATCTTCTACTCTCATCCATTCTTAGTTTCTCTTCAGTTTGCCTTTGTCTGATGCTTATAAACCAGAGTATGAACTAGTGCCCCCACCTAGATCTAGGATGTTATGTATTTGCTGGTGTTTCTATCTATTCATCATTTTACATGTTAATAATTTGTTTATATAGATTTTGACATGTTCATGTATTTGGTCTTGTTCGTGTTTCTTTTCCGTATCGTGTTTTTTGCTTTTTCATGTCTTGTATCCTGAATTATTGGGTCTGCAACCACCACCCTTGCCAAAAATGACATATATACGCAGGGATGATTGATCATCCACTTCATCATTGCATTCCTGTCTAATAATTGAAATGCGAATGATGGTGACCGGTTTTTGCGATGGCAGTTTGGACGAGGTGACCATGGACGCCTGGTTATGGCCGCAAGTTTAACGACAGGTCAACCAATGGAAGTCCCTATCAATCTGCCAGCTCCGAAAAGTGTTGGCGGAAGTGGTGGTGAAGGGCATTTGATCTCTAAACTTGTTGCTTGCGGAGGCCGTCATACGCTTGCTATAGTCATACGCTTGCTATAGTCAAATGGAAGGCGGATGAATCCAAGCCATAAGTCAAGAATCTTATGTATATATATAGCTTGATGACTGAGGAACAACAAAAGAAATTATATTTAGGTTTGGATGAAGTTTTCATTGGAAAGAATGATATGAGGAATAAATAAACCTTTACATTCACTTAAATTGGATGCTAATGTTTATTGATATATTTGAAGGTTTAGAATCAGTGTTTAAAGATTTTGGTCGGATGTCCTGTCCTATTGGATCATTTCTTGGTTCAACCAGTCCAATTTATGTATTTTTTTTAACTTTTGTTTAATGAAAATAAATTACAAAATAGTGAATCAAAATCAAAATGCATTAAATTAATGTTCATTTTTATATAAATCTATGAGATTACTACACTAATTTTCTTATAAACCCTAAACCTTATGTAAAGCAGTTTATATATATATATATATATATAAAACTGCTTTACATAGGTCTAGTTTGATCTTTTCAATCTTAACTTTGAGCAGTTGAATGATTTAATTAAAAAGGTTACAAAATGGCTTAAAACATATAAAATTACAAAAATCAAATAACATTGAATACTACGGCAATTGAAGATTAATCTTTTTTTTTTTTTTTTGACAAACCAGTATTAATTTCTGAACCTTATGTATTGTGCTTGATATTTCCTACTGAATCTTTTTTTTTTTTTGACAAACCAGTATTAATTTCTGACCTATATGTATTGTGTGTATTTCCTACTGCATATACTTAATCAATTAATTAGTGTCAATACCAATTTTAGTATCTCATAATCTCACGTTGATGACAGTGCTCAATGGTAACTTTAAGTTTGTCAAAGTAAATCTGATAATTTATATGTTTCATGAAAGTTTTTCTTTTTTGAAATTGATCTTATGGTTCAAAAATATATCTTTGAATGCAAAATTTTACATTAGAGGAGGCAAACTTATAAATTTAAGGGGGTGCGAACTTATGAATTTTTGGAGCAAGACGAAAATAAATTTTTAATGAAAAGTCACTTCAACAGTAACAAATGTGCCATTGTTATCTTTGCTCAAAGCAGCTCCCATCAAATTTATAGACTTCGATTTGTTGTTAATGGAGAAGGTGGTGTTTGGTTGAGATAGAACGAAGAAGATGAAGAGTGGCTGTAGCGGTTTCAGGCCTGGAATCTGGGTAAAGCTTGTGGCCAACAGAGTGGCTGCTCTATTTGCTTTGTGTCGGTCGTGATGGATTCTCCATTTTCGAAGCGATGTGCCTAGCAGGAACTTTCTTGACCTTTACAGTAACTGCTCTTTGAGGGCGAGGGTATGACCTTGAGAATTTTGCATACTTTCAGAGCTAGAAGAGAACATTGATGTGAAAACCAAAAGTAGCATTCATACAACAAAGAAGCATAAAAAATGGGGATAAAATGAATACATGGAAGGGATAAAATTGGGAAAGGAATACGATATTTCTAAAGTACACTAGGAAATCATAGGTGTCTACCTCATATAAAATAAGATGTATACATCCTCAGACATCACTTGGCTCATTGAGACTGAATGTACCTGAAAGGGGATACACAAAATCGTATTTCAACTCCATTCCTAAAATATTTTCAATGAGCAGCTGTTTTTCGAAGAGAGATTCTACCAGTGAGCATATAACCGATAGCCATTCAGTGAACCAAAAGGGCGGGAATAAATTTACCTCGGTATCATCTATCTTGAACTAGCTGCCTCAGAAATCTTTTACGTATGACCCATAGTTTCCGGAAAAAGATGCATTGAGTGTATCCAAATGCACCACGACAGCATAAAGCATGTAAAGTGGAGGGATGTCACTCGTTCCAGTCATGAAAGGAACCATATCCAGCATGTCAAGAAAAGTTATACACTTGTTTATTTTCCCATATTTTCTCTCCTGATTAACAGCCACATCAAGAAGTAATCCCATAAAATAGTTAACAAATATAAATCAATATACTCAAACCAACAGAAAACTCGGATGTAGTTGTCTAAATACTAAAACAGCAAGTTCTGAGATATATAGAGCGGCGTAATACCTGAAATCCTTGTTACCATTATCGGGGGTTATTGTGAATCCATAAATTCAGAGACGCCAAGAAGACGACGAGGTTCCTTGTTGATGAGGGAGAAGTTGTGTGTCGTAATCGTCAACGTTGATCGAAGGGCTGAGAAGAAGAGCCTTCCATTGGAGAAGAAACAACAGATGGGTTGGGTAAACGGCTGGAATGAAAAAATTAGAGGAGGAAAAATGAAAAAAGGGTTAAAGGGTGTGGGACTTAGAAACTGTAAACTTGTGGCGTTTGTAATACAAACGCGACTAAAGTGCGAGCTTTTAGCACCGTTTGTTAAAAAAATGCCATTATAGATAAACCCTATTACTGTGTTTGTATAAAAACGCCGCTAAAGTAATACTTTGTCGTGACGTTTGTAGAAAAACAAACCACTATAGATGAACCCTATTGCGACGTTTATATAAAAACACTACTAAAGTACTACTCTATTGCGACGTTTGTTGAAAAAATGCCACTATAGATGACTTTATTGCGACGTTTGTATAAAAAGGCCGCTAAAGTACTACTCCGTTGCGGCGTTTGTTGAAAAAATCCACTATAAATGAACCCTATTGCGTCATTTGTATAAAAACATCACTAAAGTATTACTCTATTGCGGCATTTGTTGAAAAAACACCACTAGAGATGACCCTATTACGACGTTTGTATAAAAACGCCGCTAAAGTTATAATTTTGTGGCGTTTGGAATGTAAACGCTGCTATATGTTTAAACTTAGTGGCGTTTACTCTCAAAACGCCGCTAAAAGGTCCGTTGTAGAACAATTTTGTTGTAGTGTGTTTTCTTCTCTTCTTTGGCAAGTTTGGAAGTGTGGGAACTCAAGGATTTTCTCATACAACATTCTTCTCAACAATGTCACCTTTCAGCTCAGTAAGAACTGGGCTTCCTACTACTGCTCCTCTTCTCCAAATATCACGACTTCTCATATGTTGACCCTCCAGAATGAAGTTCAATGGAAGGTCGCTCCTCTAAGATGGATCACTATAAACTCTGATGAAGCTCTTAACCCCATGAACTGCCATGGTGTGGCTGGAGGCCTTCTTCAGGATTCTGTTGGTGCTTGGGTTGTGGGCTTTCACAAATACATTTGAATTTCTCAACCTCCATGTAGAACTCTGGGCATTCTCCTCGGTATTCATACTACCTGAGATCTTGGCTTTGAACATGTCCAATGTCAAATAGATTATGCTGAAACTTACAATCTCATCTCCTCAAATGATTCCATCTCTAGTCCGATTGCCACTGTGAGAGAAATAACAGGCATGGCTTCTAAATCTTGGATGGTTAACTTCACCTTATCTACTGTGAAGCTAACTTCGCAATTAGAAGAAAAAAAAGTTTGGAACACGGATATGGATTTATTTAAATTCTACTATTTTACTTATATGATGTATATATATATTTCATGTTAGAGTTTGATTTGAACTCCATGTGATATAAATTAATGAATATATAATTGCAAAGTAAGAAACCTAATTTGATTAAAGTAAAAATCTTATTCTCTTTTATGTTGATTAATAGTAGATAACATATTTGACTAGATTTCTATTAAACAATTTTCTCTTGTAACCAAAGTTTTATCCCTATAAATAGTTATTAGATATTAAGGTTAAAAGTCAAGTTGTTTTTGCAGATTCTCTTGTATCTTATACTTTCGATATTAGTGAAATTATCTTCTTCTAGAATTTTCTCCAAAAGAGTTTTTCACGTAATATTTTATATTCTTTATTTTACGGTTGGTTATATTTGTTATTATCATACTTACATTATTACAAATTGGCATCAAGCTTTTTAGGTTTGATCTAATATGAAATATCTTATTATGAGAAGGTGAAGATCGAGATGTTCTTTCACGGATGAATTTATGAGACAATGAAAGGGGTTGATAATATGTTTTCGTTCTGGAAACTTGAGGATAAACAACTTAATGATTGAAAAGCCCTATTTCAAATTCGTTTACATTTATCAAATCAAGCATGATGTATTGAAAGAAAACATAATTGCTTCTTTGTGGGTAAAATTGGAGAACCTATGCATAAAAAAACTTAATAATCAAGTCGAATATGAAATACCGTCTCTATTTATGTAAGTTGATAGAAGGCTCTCTCTTGAAGATCAACTTATTTGATTTAAACCCATAATTATGAGAACATATTTTAATGTATACTATTAACAAACATGACATAAATTAAGTGGCCAATTATGTTATAAAGTCATAATATATTAGAAGTATCATGGAAATAAAAGTGTAGATACGATTAAAGTTGTATGTATAATTGTCGAGGGGAACATTTATAAGTACAAACATAATGGATTAAAATTAGTTATATAAAAGGTTATGACCGCCAAGAAATAGATAATATCGTATTTTCTCTTATCCGGTCAAAAATTTTGTACTAAAGAACTCTGTCTTCTTGGAAGATCACAACCAAAGAAAGACTCAAAGATTTCAACCTATCAATTAATCCAGATCACAACCATAAGACAATCTTTAAGATCTCAACCTTATAGGTAATTCCAACAATAGATTCAGATACACTTTTGTAATCTAATATTTATTCATTCTCGATAATTTGATATGATTAGATCCTTGTTTGATTTCATATTTATTAAGGTTTGGCTCTAACACAATTATCTATCTGAAAGAATTTACTCAGGTATTAGAGACCATGAAGGTAAAGTACGAAAAAAATTATTTAGGATTGGTTATGTTATGTTCTTTCTCCTCTTCTTATTCATCCTTAAGAGATACCATCATTTTGTCACACCCCAATTTAGGGGCTAAATTTTCAATAGTTAAATTAATGGATTAAATTGAATTTTAATTAAATACAACCAAATTTATAAATTAGAAAAAATTAGAGGCCTAACAGGGCAATTTTCCCATTCTTTGGATAATTTTAGCTTTAAACCCAAATCTGAAGCTTTCTCGTTTAACAAATCCCTTAAGCTTTCTCGTTTAATAATCCCTTAAGCTTTCTCGTTTAATAATCCCTTAAGCTTCTCTCTCCACTTTTCTCTTTCTTTATACTTTTAGTTTTTCTTCTCTAAGATTATCCAAACATCATTTCATTGTTAATCATAGCTCTGTTTGCTACACAACCCATACCATTGCTTTCT